GGTAACCAGAAAAGCTGGAAAGCTGAAATTTTAAGGGAATATTCTTCGTCTACGTACAACTTAAAGATTTCAAATCCGAACACCCAGTACGCGTTCTCACGTACAGGCACGCTTGCTGAACAGCCAGCCAGGTCGTTTTCACAAAACGACCATTAAACGGAAATTGTTTTTTTTCCTTATGCAAAACTTGCGATGATTTGTGCTAGTGAACGCAAAATATAGATGTAACAACCATTCATGCAGTTAACGAAATGAGTACTTCAAATCTAATGAAAAAACATGTAATCGTAACGGCAAGCCTGGTGCATTCCAGTCTGGGTTATTTATTTCAATTTAGCACTAGTACCTTTGCCAAAATTGGCTTACAAAGTTTTGAATTAGTTGAAAATATCAAACAAAAAAGACACTAGAATGATTTCTCCAGAGCAATTAATTTTGGTCAATATGTCATCACTAGTTGCAGTTCTGATTTAGGGCACGTGTTGGGTTTGTTTCACGAACAGGCGCGTTTCGATCGCGATAATTATGTTCAAGTTGTGCATACAAATATCGCTTACGAATACGCTGGACAGTTCGTAAAGCAATCGCTGGATACAATCAATCCGTTTGGCGTGGATTACGACCTTGGATCAGCGATGCATTACGATCAGTTTGTCGGCTATAATCAAATATTGATAATTGCTCGCAGAACTAAAGGCCTCCTTAATTTTCAAATATTTTCAGTCCTACAAAAGTAAAGTCTGGTATAGCTCTTCATATAGCGGTCAGATTTTTACAGCTCGACTTGTTAGAACCCAAACCCAATCTGAAATCCAAACCCAAGCTGCAACCCAAAATTTCAAAATTTAAAGCCAGCTGTTTTCAGAATTGTGACTACGCGTACGGCTGGCAAATTTGTCAACATTTTGCTCGTGAATTATGAGAATTGCTTGAATTTGGGCCTGAGGTCAAGAGTCAGGGTAGGAGGGAAGGACTTTGCTTTGAAAATTTCAGTTTCCTACTTATCGTAGACCCAGAGTAAAAATGTCTGGTCAGACAACAAGCAGAAAGCGCACCTACACTCGCTTTGGCAGGGTTTTTTGCTGGCGATTCATAAACGTGCAAAAGCCCCCGGAAAATACAGGGTCCAAATTGTTAAAGTTTAGATGCTCCCTACACTTTAAAGATTTCCTACTCCCAGTATTTTGAAAAAAATGTAATATGATTAATAAATTCGATACGGAGTATGTGCACGACCTGAAAAACATGTGTGCGAATTCACGGAGTGCGACCGAAAAGAAATGTATACGACTTCATGGATCGAAATTTTCTTCCAATTTAAAATTCCACTTTTCCTATATAGAAAGTTTAATTGTTTAAACAGCTTGTTGTTCATAGACTCGCATTAGCAATAATTTGGAAAATCTTCCCGTAGAATAATTATGCAAATATTGCCTATGTTCTTTTCATAACTCTTTACTTACCTTTCCATCTTTCTCTAATTCTGATTTTAGTTCTAGTTACGATAATTCGTCACTGAGAGTCTGAATAAAATTACACGATTTCAGGCATTTTCTGGAAATGGCCTACCTACGCTGCGGACACTTGACCATAATTATCAGTTAACAATTGGGCAGCGAAAGCAGCTATCCTTCAATGATATCAAAAAAATCAATTTTGCTTATTGCAATCGTAAGCTCCTTTGCTATAGTTACAGCTTTGCTAATAGCAAACGCTTTTTTTGGTATATAACAAACGAAGCTCTATTTTGGTAAAATTTGTACTTGGAGTGTGGAATTTGGCGGGAATGGGAGAGAATGGAATTTAGGAAATTGAACTTTACGAACTCTAGGTTTTTGTACGGTGACATATTAACCACTGCACCACTTATCCTATTGCTCTAAATACGAGCAGGTGGAGTACGTTTTGTGTTTACCTGTCTCAAGCATAAATTTATCCAGAGTATGACGACTGACACTACAGATTCGGTTCTTCTCAAGAATTCTTAACAGACCCCGTAACTGCGTTATTCAACCTCACGAATGGTCGACTGCGAAGCATTCACCAACATCCACCTTCTTGTCACTTTTTATCCGATGCACCATTTTGTGAACAAAAACAAAAAATATGAAAAGAATTGCGAGCAGCAGTAATAATAACGGTTTTAGCAGTAACTGGTCAGGAAAAATAAAGCCTGACATAATGCTGAACTAGAAATGAAAACTATCAGCAAAAAAGAAATAGCGTCTGGTCTTAAGCGTGAAGCAGCAAATTGCTCCGAATTTGAACCAGCATCAAAAAACAACGTGCGTCCACAATGCATTTCAACAACTACCTGATGACCTTTTATTGATTTGGGTTGCAGGGACATGCATCCTGCAGCTGCCATGTCAACGTGGCGGTTACACGGATCCTAAACTATGCAGTCGATGCCGTTGTCCGGAACCATTCAGCGGAATTTTTTGTGAGTTACCACGACCAGGTAGTTCACTGTGCGGTACACTCGAACATCATGCCAATGAGGCTATACAAACGTTGACAATGGCTGGTGTTGGAGAATGCAATTATGTTATCAAAGTAAACTGATCAAATTGTTCAGCCAAAATCTTTTTATCATTTCTTTTTTTTCCGCGTATTTTTTGTAAAAGTGACACGGTAATTTTGAGTGCCTAGGCTACATTAGGCTTTAC